AGTTATTACCCTCATTAGGGTGATTTTTTTTCACCTTTGGAGCTGCCAGAGCACAGGGGTCTGAATACTTACGGAAGCAGCATATTTCAGCTTTTGACTTCCTTGAAGATACAGCTGACAAATCTTTAAAATCTTTATGCTTGCAATACAAATAATTGGAGAAAAGACGTGCAAGTCATCATTTGTAATCCAGCAACATTTGAAAGCTTTTAGAGGGTCTGAATACTTTTGCAAGGCTCTGTATATAATATACACACGTGTACTACCATATAGAACTATTTAATACTGAACCCTGACTCCTTTGCATCATTTTACTGTGCTTTTGTGCACATTACCTTCCTTTGACTAAAGTAAATGTGGATGAGAACCATGGCATTTTCCTTTAGCTCGTTGACACTACTTAATTGACTATTTTTGTTGCTTTTCTAAGGTATTTTAAATATTTATGACCATATGAGAAATCCATAATTCTAAAAATGAAAAGGAATAATTATGAGAAAACAGACCTCACTTATTTCCCCCGAATTCTTGATTTCATTTTGATTGAGAGAGAGATAAGCACTAGGTGGCAGCAGAGACATACGGAACTCTGGGTTAGCGCAGGGACCTCCAGCACCTGAAGTGTTTACAGGGCTGTGATGCCTGGGGGGATGCAGGCCTCTGGACCACCCCTCTCTCATACCCCAGCCGTATCACTGCACGGCCTGAAACCACCGCAGGAGCCGTCACCGTGAGGACTGGCTGATTGGCTCAAACTGTTGCCAATCACCTCATTTCTAGAGGCGTTTCATCCTGCTTCCCCGGCTGTGGAACGGCCAGTCATCGATTTCTTTCCCTGCCAGTCTTCTTTCCTTTCTTCCTTGCTGTCACTCTATCGGTCCGTCAGACAGTGTCAGTCTGTGTCAGTCTGTCAATCTGTGGGTCTGCCAGTCAGTATTTTGATTGACTTTGACCTTCATTTTTCCTCTTCCTGCTGCCCTCTCCCGATTTTTGCCTTGTGGCCTCATGGCCACTCTTTTCGGAAGACCACCTGTTTGGGGTATATTGGCTTTGGCCTCTGCTTTTTTTGGACAACGGTTTGGGACAACGCTGACTGTACATCCAAACCGCTGTGACCTTAACACTTGGATTTACATCTCTTCTCCGGTCGCCACATCCTGACCGGTGAGCACAGTGACATAACACGGGCACCATAAAGTCTATATGGAGGCAGTGTAGTGTGGTGGGGATGTTTCTGAACCCATGGGTTGTGGGTTCGAGTCCTCACTGCCAACACTGCTGAATGAGGGACTGTACCCGTTGCTCCCGTCTGCCCAGCTGTCAAAAGGGGGACCACCATGTGCAGAGTCTGATGGGTAGTTGGATAGGGGGCGACACGCTCTCTGATCGCTTTGCCAAAAAAACAGTATAAGTTATATGGGTAATTCAGTTTGACCCACCTATTGGATCATTATTATTTCTAAATACTTGGAACAATTTAGGGCAGCACAATGGCAACGTAGCAATAATTTTTGCTTCACAGTGCTGGGGCGTTGGGTTCAATTTCTGGGGTGCTATCTGTGTCAGGTTCGCGTTCTCTCCGTGTTCGAGTGGGTTTTCTCTGGGTGCTCCTGTTTCCTCCCACCGTCCAAAGCCATGCTGGTAGGTTACTTGGCTCCTGGGAAAATTGGCCCTGCAGTGAGTGCATGTGTCTGTGTGTGCCCCGTGATAGACTGGCGTCCCGTCCAGGCCGTATCCTGCCTTGCACCTGTTGCTTTCTGGGATAGGCTCTGGCTGGCCCTTGACCCTGTATTGGATAAACTGGTTAGAAAATGGATGGATGGAGCAAATTACCTGTGATTTGTTAAACAGGTGATTTGTTCTATTAAAGTCATCTAGAGATCATTAGGAACACAAATCAGACTTTTTTTTTTGTAAAGCAAGAACACCATTTAGAGGTTAGATCCCATTAAGGGGTAGAGAAAGGGTTCCATTTCAGAGATCAGAGCACAGTTGTTTCTTGAAAAAGGAACTGTAGATGTTGAAATGTTCTCACTAAAGACTGGTTTACTGATTAACATGTTGGCATTCTCCATTCAGGTACAGTATGCAGAAACTTACAAGTCTCAACCAGATAGATTTCACTATGTTTGCTGAAGACATAAGATAGTATCAGATCTCTTTATTAGCCCTATACAATTCCTTGCATTAGGAATTGGTCTGTTGGCATACCCCAGCTTGCTCTCCATGAGACACACAGGCAGGGAGAGAGAAGCTGGGGGTCAGAGCGCATGGTCAGCCATTTATACAGCACCCCTGGAACAGTTGGGGTGAAGGGCCTTACTCAGGGGCCCAACGGGGTATGATTCCTCTGCCAGCCACAGGATTTGAATCGGCAACTCTCTGTAACGGACAGTTCTTTCTGGACCCTATGCGGATGACACGATCCAGGGAAAAGTCATGCAGGAAAAGGGGATGAAAACAGGGAGCGTGACGCTGGTGTTCGGTGGAGGTGTGGCCGAGGCAAACAATCCAAACGCATAAGTCCAAAACCGGGTGGTCCATCGGAGACAAAGACAAAAGGGGATTAAAAACAGGGAACCGGGTCGGAACCGGGTTGGAACTGGCAGGGGGAATGGGAACAGAAACTTAAAACCTTAACGGGACCAGGCGCTTCCGGGTCCCGGACTCGCCTGGTGCAAAAACCAGAGCAGAGCGCTGAACTGAGTGGCCGTCTGGCGTTTAAGGTGGACTGGGAACGGGCTGAAACAGGGGACAGGTGCACAAAATCAAGTCCGAAGTGAAAGGGCCGGAGCGCCCTTAAGGGGGAGGGACTACAGTCGTGACACTCTCTAGCCACAGGCGCAGATCCAGTGGCCAGTTCTGTTCCCTGTGAGTCTGGTCGCTTTGTTCGGTTGTGTCTGCTTCAGGGAGAACATTTTGGTCTCCAATTGCATTGAACAGCATAACTCCAATTGAATCGAACATGTGAGCTGAAATCATCTTGGTGAGATAAATACTTCCATACTGTAAGCAATCTATCAAAATTAAAAGTAACAAAAACTACATCCTGAAGGATATTTTTTTCTGTATGCAACTAAAGAGATGATGAATGTCTTTAAGTGTCTACAGGAAATGTTAAAAGACAACAGCATCAATGACAACAGACTAAATTAAATGTTTTAGTTGAATGTAATTACATAATAGTGTGTTAGCATCAGTTTACAATCAATCAATTAGAAATGTTGTAGATTCCTTTTGATCTTTTAAAGCTCTTTGCAATTTAATTACTATTTTTGAAGTTTTTTGTTGTGGATATGTTACAGATTTCTATATTGCTTTCTAAATGTGTTGTAATGTACAATATTTAAGCTTATGTATTCTGATAATTTACAAAATAACACTGTAGAAAAAAGAACTGTATACTGTCAAAAAGAAGCTGTGTATCTTTTTCAATGTCTGGCTGCTGGTAATGATAAAATTCTAAAATAACACGTCTGTTGATTTCTGTCAATTTCCATTTTCAGGTTCTGTCTACAAAACACTTTCCTAAATGATCACAAAAAGGCAGAATTGTTAGTAAATTAATTCATAATTTTATTCATTTGATTTGTATTTTCCAAGAAAGAGGAAGAAGCATCATCTATATCACGCTGTGAAATTTGTTTCACAATCTTGTAAGCTGCTGTTTGAACTCACAAAGTACTCACGATGGGAAAAATATTACAACAGTGTGTATACAAACTTGTTCCTGGATACAGTCATTAACAATTAACCTATGAGACACATTTCCAAGAGAAGTTAAGTCTAGTGTCCTGGCTGCCTTTGAAATAAAAAAAAGAACAGATGCCATTAAAAAAAGAAAAAGTACAGTACTAGAACCTAAATACCAATTTCAAATTGAATGCAATAATTTAACATGGTAACCAAAATGTATTACAATTTTAAATTGTAAGACCCCTAGGCCTGACTTCCCCTTTCCTTTTCTACCTCGTGCCCTTGATTCTAGTCTGTTTTCTACATCCTAGACAAATTTCTGTGTCAAGCAATAATTCAGATTTTTAGATACTTTTTTGTAAAATTGTAATAATTTATTACAATTTTAAATTGGGCGACTGTGGCTGGACTCTGTTGCCATTCGGGACACTGTGGAAAATACACCTTGTGTGTCTCTTTAGTGTTCTCTGGAAATAGCCTTTTTCCATCAGTATTAAGCTCATCTCAAACCTTCACTGGACAGTTCCTTGACTCTTTGCATCCCTACAGAGGGACAGACAGTTTAACAACTTGAATGAAAACATACAACAGCTGTCAGGTAACAGTTCTTTTCAGACCCTACGCTGACGACACAATCCGGAATAGTGAGAAAACACGGGGGGATAAGTCATGCAGGAGACGGGAATAAAGACAGGGGGCGTGTCCAATGGAGTCCAATGGAGTGCTGGTGATCCGGGGAGGTGTGGCCGAGGCAAACAATCCTAGAAGAGGTCCAAAGAAGAATCCAAACGAAAGCAAAAGTCCATGGGTGGGTGATCCATCCAAAACAAGGGATTAAAACCAGGTGCCGGGTTGGGAACGGGAATGGGAACGGGAGCGGGAATGGGAGCAGGAGCAGGAGCAGGAGCAGGAGCAAAAAGTTAAAAGCATAACAGGCCCAGACAAATCCAGGTCCCAGGTTCGCACGATGCGGGAATCAGATGCAGAGCCTCGATTGGCAACTGTGTCTGGCTTTTAAAGGGGGACAGGAAGGAGGCTGGAACGAGGGACAGGTGCGGGGAATAAGGCAAACGAGGAAGAGCTGGAGCGCCCTTAAGAGGAGGAGTAGCCATCGTGACAACAGCCTGCATTCCTTGAAATGGGATTGTTGACTTCCAATTCAGACCTTATTTTCTTATACCTGGGGCATCTACAGGTGTTTCTGCTTCTGTAAGCTGCTTGATTCATATGTACAGTACTCAGCTTGATTTAGTGCTGACCCAGACATGAACTCCAATAACAGCTGCCACCATGAAGACCAGCCCCACAGAGAGCACGATGATCTTCATGAGACACAGCGGAAAACCAGTAAAGGTGTCTGAAAGGAAAGGGACAGAATTGTATACATTAGTTAATGGGAATCTTTGATCAAAATAGACGTCTGCAACATGACTGATACACTGTCATATTGTCAAAAATTCGGCAGCTAGAATCCTGACCAGGTCCTGTGCAAGTGTTCACATTACCCCTGTCCTGGAGTCCTTGCACTGGCTTCCTGTCAAATTCCTTGTGGACTTTAAAAGCCTCATGCTCACCTATAAGGCGCTGCGTGGCTTGGCACCTCAGTACCTGTCTGAACTATTATCGCCTTACTCCCCACCTTGCAACCTTCGCTCTTCTAATTCATGTCTCCTAACTGTCCCCCAAGCCCCAATTGTGTTTTATCTTGTGTATTCTTTTTATTTATTGTTGTTGTCATTCTGTAAAGCGCTTTGAGAAGCCATCTTTAAAGGCGCTATATAAAACAAAATGTATTATTATTATCCTGAGAATTCACCCTTACCACTGGCGGTGAATGGACAGCTGTCGCTCACAGCCACTGAACTGATGCTCCAGCTGACCTGATTGCTGACGTTGCACACCACTGATCTCCCATCCGTAGACACGTCGATGAGCAGAGCAGGGGACCTGCTGTAGTTCGCTGTGATCTCAGTGCAGTGAGATTGCCTGCAGGAGTAGGTAGAAGACTCGGCTCCATCAGTGGAGCACATGACTAAGAAGCTGCAGAATTCACTCTTATTGACCAGAAGGGCTGGTGGGGACACCTTCTCTGTGAGGACAGAAAAACAAGCAGTGTAGTGCAGAAATTTGAAGGCTTCATATGAAGCACATTTTTGTGCCTTGACATAACAGTTTCTTGTGGTCCATATACAAATTTTATTGAAGTGAATGTCCTCTTTGAATCATTATATGGCATATGCACGATGTACAAGAAAGAAAATTGATCTTATAGATCTTATTCATTACCCAGAATGAATGAGAAATAAAAGTTAAATGCACTTACCACGAACATATACAATATACTCTGCCACAGTTGTATCAGTTCCAAGTATATCAATCACCACAGCTTTAAAAAGACCATTGTCCCCCTCCTCCAGGTAATTGATAAGTAAAGAGAAATCCTTCTTGTTAAACTGCACCTTGTTTTTATACTTTGGATACAGCAAAACACGTTCTGAGTCTTTCGTGTATTCGACTATGTTACTGAATCCAAAACACCATGATATCCAAAAGAATTTCAGCTGCTCATATCCTGGAACAGTCAGATGAGCAGAATCCCCTCTTACTCTGAAGAGCCTGACTGGAAGAATGTCAGTAATGACACCTAGAAACAGAAAGACATACAAGTACTTAAGAGAAAGAAAGTTAATAAAAGACCTTTTCATTTTTACAGTTACTGAACTTAAAACTTAAGAGACTGATTCTGCACCTCAAAGAATTATTAATAACCATACGGAACCTCATGATTTTGTAGTGTGGATCTTAAATATGTGCATAAAAATGCTCAATTATGCTCAATTTAATAACTATTCAAAACAAAGGGCTATCTCTCATACACTGCTAAACTCAGAGTCTGCTAAACCATCATGTTCTCATATAGTCCTCATATTAAACGTAAATGTTTTAGTTGTAAAAATGGGACGCGTCTTTAGAGAATCATCTCCATTAACATAGAGTGATGTCAAACATTTATTTTGAATGGATGATCTCTCTTGTTTTTACATTTGATTCTCATAATAAATGAGAGTTCTGGGAGCTGTAAATTAGTTTCACTAAGTATATTTAAAAAGAGTTCATGATCATTTCTCTCAGACTTTATATGGTAAGGTTTTGCTGTGGTCAAATGATTTTATGAAACAAATGTAGTTTTTAAAAGAGCAGATAGGAGAGTGTAAAATAAACTATGACCAAGTAGCTTAAACATTACCTTATGCAGAGAAAAAACAGCATTTCAAGTTTTTTCTGAAAGGAGCAGTTTTGTAGCTTATTGAATCAAGTGGAACAGGCAAAGATGATACAGATTCTTAAACGATTCATCTATGTATAAAAAATAAATGAATATTAATTTAATTAATTTTACAGAAACATTCAAATTCCTTTGTGGATCACAGATCTAGTCTGTTCCTTTAATGCAATGCAGAAGAATAAGTCCTTGAATGCAAACACATTTTATGGTATCCGTTTTTAGTGTGTTTCCTTTGAGCAAGGATCTGTGCCCACACACAACTAATTATTCCAAACATTGTGCATACGATGTTGCTCCTGAATACAGTGTCACTAATCACTAACCTGCGAAACACATTTTCTGTAAGTTGCAATGGAAATAATAGAGATTCATTCCAGGTGGAAAAGTGGGAAGACCTAAAAACACTTTAGATGCGAAGCCTCTTAAGGCCACCTGATCACTGTTGTTACAAACGCGAGGAAATGAACATGGAGAAAGTTAGGAAATGACTGAGTGGGGTAGTTAATAAGTACAATAAATAATCAGATCCTTGAACTTGAAAGGATTTCTCCAGGAATATACCCACCCCAGAGGTTGGTATTGTTAGAGACGTGTGAATTCTTTGTTCTCTTGCACAACTTTGGTGAAAGGAGCAATAATTCAGGCACGCTTGGTTAAACAAAAATGTATTAACAATGAAAGTGACACACGCTACACTACACACATATAACACAAAAGCTTTCCTATGTACAGTATGTACAGACAAGGCAACCTAGAGACCTACATCTAGACCACCCAGAAAACCCCAGACAGCTACCAAGTATTTGACTCTTACATAATGCCTGCAAAGAAGAGATCATCTGCCTTCTAAACTAAATAGAATACAACCTATGAATGAATCTCTCTCACTGCAAAGCCAGATGCCACAGAAAAAATGTGAATCCATCTCCCTATTTTGAAATACACGTACTAAAAAAGGAGTGGCTGGTTTAAATTCAGCGGTTCTTCACTCAGGAACTCCAAGTCCCCTAAAAAACACAGAACAGCGAGCTATTTTAGCCAGGCTCAAACAGTTAGCTCCAATCAGGTCCGTTCGGATGATCTCGAGCATAGACCTCTCGCCTGGCCCATGCTTTACGTTCTGTCCTCCTGTCTGCCTCTTCTTGTGATCTGTTCTTTTTTTCTCTGTCTTTCGGGACTGTTGATTAGCGCTTAATCATTTCTCCAGAAATCAACTAAGTTAAACCAAGGTCAACTTTACGATTGCTTTGATCCCAAAATCTACACCCCCTATATCTCAGCAAACATCCGTCCTACTTTGCAGCTGAAAATCTTTACACTGCCTGCTGTGACACACTTCACTGAAACTCTTCGGGACACTTCTTTGTCATTTTACCGGTTAGACTACTGATTACAGCTTTTTTCCCAGGTCATACTTGGAATGTATTTTTCCACAAAATACATTTAACAAGCACTAAGAAAACGTTGTGACAGTGAAAACGGTTAAAAAAATAGTTACATTACCTGAAGACGCCGAAACTACGCTGACAAGCAAAAGGAGAATCATACTTCTGTATCTTAGCATTGGCAAACATCTCAGTGGTCAAATGGAAATGGGCCTGTGAACATTAATCTTTAATTTTTTATATGCTCACCACATCCTGTGTAAAAAGTTGCATTTCTTCTTTTTGCTTTTGAGGGTGATGTCAACCTTCACTCGATTCTTTGCAGCCAACACATGCTGACACAGCTCCCCTCTCAAACCGTTTGTCAACTCTACTACGATTTCCGATACGATTAACCGTGCAATCTCACACTTCCGCTCGCTGAAAGGAGCTTCCCGCATGAAGGTACTGTACATGTCTGCTCCTGGAGTAAGAAGTTTCTATGTAAGGTGTAGGAACAGGAACACTCTTCATTCTGAGCACAGTAATTCAAATGTGGTGACGCAGTCATCAGTAGACAAGAGAAATCAAAACGCCTGAAACTAGCATGTCACAAAACCCATGTTCTTTGTAAGTTACACGTTACGTTAGAGGTGTTCTCTATCATAGTTGAAAAGGGAACACGTAACCGTCTGTAGGAATATTAATGTACCCAATGCCAGTGCTTCATGGTGCACATTTTGTCATGATGCTATCCATGAGGGATAATATTAGCCAGCAGCCATATCACTCTGCAACTCACAACTGACAATCCACTGGAGCTCAGCAGGTGTGAGCCTGTTCAGTACTTGGATGGGAGACCTCCTAGGAAAGCTAAGGTTGCTGCTGGAAGAGGTGTTAGTAGGGCCAGTAGGGGGCGCTCACCCTGCGGTCCATGTGCGTCCTAATGCCCCAGTATAGTGAGGGGGACACTATACTGTAAACAGGCGCCGTCCCTCTGATGAGACGTAAAACTGAGGTTCTGACTCTCTGTGGTCATTAAAAATCCCAGGGTGTTTCTCGAAAAGAGTAGGGGTGTGACCTCGGCGTCCTGGCCAAATTTCCCATTGGCCCTTACCAATCATGGCCTCCTGATAATCCCCATCTCTGAACTGGCTTCATTACTCTGCTCTCCTCCCCACTGAGAGCTGATGTGTGGTGAGCGTTCTGGCGCACTATGGCTGCCGTTGCATCATCCAGGTGGGGCTGCACACTGGTGGTGGTAGTGGGATCCCCCATTACCTGTAAAGCACTTTGAGTGGATTGTCCAGAATATATAGCACTATATAAGTGTAAGCAATATAGAAACTTAATATGGAAAACAGTATGAAAACTTCTGAATCCGCCTGTAAGATAAAAGATAAAGGCATGAGGCTTCCTCTGCCACCAACCCTTGTAGAAATGCAGATCTAATAATACACCCACTTTGAAGAAAGCCCACAGGAAATACTATGGTCTTGCAAAAAGCTGATGTACTGCGGTAAAACAAGGGAATATATGAGACTTGCAGTGTTTTTCAAAGCTGACAGAAGCAGCCAAAGAGGAACTAACAACTAAGAAACTGCGCTGGAAAATGTGTGGGGTTCATCTTGTTCTGATGATGGGACTCTATGTAGTTTTGTATGGTGAGTCCCACAGTTTATTTTAATAACGCTCTTGGAATGCAGGTTTTTCATAACATGCAAAGCAATTCAGCTGCGGACGTCTGTGCTAAGATGTGATGATTGTTGACATATTTAATGATAACGATAACGGTAAAATAAGTTATTGTAAATATGTGAATTACAATATAATCAAATCTAATTTACCACCTTTCCTGGAAAGCACTTGGAAATAAACTATTACTGTTAGAGTTTTCAGAATTTTTAGAATTTTCAGTGTGTCAAAAAAAAGAAAATAAATTAAATAGTTATCTAGATGTGAGAACTTAAAAAAAGAAAATAAAAGCAAAAACACATCCAGTGCTGGGAAAATGTCTACGAACTTTACGGAGTTTTTATAATGAAAGTTCGGGAGGGATGACAACAGCCACACTCAATCATTCCCAGTCGTCAGCGATTAGCAACCACTCCCTTCGTCTTTCCTCCACAGAACACTATAATTACCAACGTGATATCTCTCTCCCTCGCGTGCGACTTTTGCATCCCACCTCCGCCCCAACTCCACCTCTGCAGCTGCCCCTTGGTCACCCTGCGTGGGGGTCCTGGCCTCCTCGTCCTCTGGCCAGGAGGTCGGCCCTCAGCCAAGCGGGTTAAGCCGATATCCGCTCCAGAACAGTTCATCATGCTTTGATCTTGGGCGTTGCCATTCCTAGTGAAATACAAGTATGTGAGTTACAGAAGCTTAACATGATACCCCTAGCTGAAACTGATCTCAAATAAATAACCAAAAGATAAACTAATATGCAATTGACTACTGAAATTCGCAGTCCCCTTAGACTTCATTTGGTTGTTAAAAAATAGGTCATTTATGGATAAATGATATATAATTTTTGGATATATGCAAATAAGCTAATTAGATTGTAACTAACAGTTATTAAAATCATATGAAATCTTTTTTTTTATTTGGTTTTGCTTGAGGTGTGAATCTGCCCTTGTCAGTGTCTGCTGAGCAGAATGTCACAGGCGCTGTGGGAGGAACAGTCACTCTGCCTTCTGGTGTGCAGAGTGTGTCTGTCCAAGACGTTGTCTCAATGGATTGGAAATTCAAAGGGAAAGCTATTGCACAGTTTA